TTTTTAAATATCAATATTTTATTTTAAGAAATTTGATTTAAAAAATCTAATTTAAGAAATTTTTTGTCATTATTAGTTATGAATYGGTACCTATTAAATATAAATTTTAGAAACATAGTACTAATTATAAGAACGACTATTATATATTTATAGCGACTATAGTACTATACATATAGCTGTATTCCTGTATTATATAATCTATTATATTATAATGATATAATAATAAATTGTTTAGAACTTTATTAGTAGGTAGGATAAATCTATATGGATTATGATGTTTTTTTGGTCATAAAAAGTCAAGGAATACCTATTTATATATATTTGTTGAATAGTATTTTACAATTAAGTTTTTATTTTGTCATTCATCAGGTTTTAGAGCACACTTTCAATCCTCAACTTTTAGATTATTTTCTGGTAAAAAAATTGAACTAGTATTATCAGCACTATTAGGAGGACCAAGTATATATTCCTTATTAATTAAGGAAATCTTAAAGTTTTTTAAAGAAATTAAGGTAAACGGTAGTATTAACAGATTCTTATAAAATCATTTAATTTCTTTATTTTTATTCAAAAACGAATAATAGTGTCATAAAAGTTTAAACTGTCATTAAATATTTTAAAAAAATGTTAACTAACTTATTCTAATCATTATATAGTAAGTCAGATTTTCGACGTTTTTAGCAAAAATGATTTCATCCGTCGATAAAAAGACATAATTTTTAGATAAATAGCTTAAAACATAAATCACTCTGATAATGTCATTGTGTATTTGTGACAGATAGGTATTATTTGCTTAGAGTAGTTTTAGATATATTTTTGGACTGGGTGCTGCTGAATACAACTTTGTTTTTGGTAATCACGATGAAATTTGTGTAAGATTTATTTCATAATCATTCAATTATTTTTTAACCATCATAATTTAAAAATCATAATATCTATGATTTAATGTTTTTCAGTGCATTGAAAAAATTGGTATAAAGTAACACGCTACATTCAAGGTGTATAGATAATAATAATAATTATATCCATAAACCTTGCGTCATGTAAACGTAACGTTTTATTAATCTTTATAAATTACCCACATAACCGTGTCTTAATCATCTCCTCGGAACGAGCATTATTTTTCGTATACATTGGTATGTCATATTATGTCTTCGATGATTTAACATTCAGTTCTAGTGCATGTGTACTTACAACACATTCATTACTAATATAGGATGGAATTTAATTGTATAGCAATATACGAATAAATGCATAATAACGTTACTTATTATAGTACCTACACTCATCGAAACCTGCTATATACATATCTATTATACGACACCCACAGTGCAACATTCTGTCACTGCAGTACCGAGTTCCCTGATTTTTTAAAAATTAAAAGTTATGATAATAATAAATTTAAAAATATAATTTAACTAAAACTATGTTCAATCTATAGACTGYAGCAGTTGCTTTAGATCGGTATGTAAAGCTCGTTGTTACTTCAGAAACGGAGGATTCGACTTCGGTTATTGTGAAGATGGAATTTGCAAGTGTGCACCACCGGTGATATACGTTTTCAATGGCGTTGGTCGTGATTTGAGCGACGAATATATAGACAATTCATTGGTCAATGACAATGTTATMCAAAATTCGGTAAACAATGCAATAATTGCGATTTTAATCAATTGTACACAGATATATATATACTACTTATTACTTAATTTTCACATGTAATATAGAGTGTCCCTATGGTATTATTCTGTACTAACATTAAAGCTGTCTCAATTCAGTGAGTATAGAATCTTAATCCTAAATTGTGATGAKAATGAGAAATGTATGTAATAACTCATAACGTGATGGTTAATCTTGGTTAATTTAAAACCTTTTGAAATACTAAATAAATATTTAGAATAAGTTGGGTCTCTTAAAAACCCTATTGTGATAGGTCTCTCAGTTTTTTAGATTTTGTGATGACTAACGTGACCCCGCGGTATTTGAAAATCTCAATAACACTAACACATGTGACCTATCAAAACAGGGATKTTTTGGAAAGATAAATCTTATGAAAGAATAAATTTTTCATTAAAATGTATTGAGCAATTCAAATTTAAAGTCACTATTAAAAATCCTATCCTTGGAACACACACTATAATCAGGTTTTTGATTCAACTCACTGACTACTACACTCAATTGTTATTTTTCGTTTAAATAATTTCATTTTGTCAACATTTGAACTCCAAATGCTTATAAAAAGTATGGTTTTATTCACAATTTAATTTTAATTTTTAGTAATTAATTGTCTAGAAAAAGCTTATATTCCGTTCAAATTCCAAGTAGATATATATTAATATATTATATAAGTATGTTTATTTTAGAATTGCAAAAAAATACATATGTAGGTCGTAATAATCATTATAAAACCAATACTATACAATAACATATCCTTAAATAAAATCAATAATTTTCTAGTATTTGAAAGTTAAATTATTATAATATTATAATTTTATATTTATATAAGATATTTATTATTTATAATTAATATTATAATATTTAATAGATACAAATATTAAGGACTTCAGCATCGTATACTTCTGATAAACATGATAAAAATAAGGTAATTACTAATTACACAMTTTTAAAAATTATAAAATAAGTATTATTACTGATAGTATTTTATTGTTAACTTTTTAAAATCTTTCTAGGTCAAGTACTTTTAAGTACTTATTTTTAGTATTGAAYAATTTAATTTATTTCTCCAGGTTTTTTATTTTATTTTATTAATCGTAATTTAGAATTTTAATTGGTCATACAATTAAAAATCATCATTTATATTTATAATGTTAAAATAGCTGCAATAGGTATGTTATTCTATTTAACTATTAATCATATAGGTATTGACAGGGACGTCCTTGTGGGGGGAGTAAAGGGGGCGACGGCCACCCATCAGGTGGACCGACTTAGATAGTAATTGTTGGAGAATTTTACAATTTATATTAAAGTACTTAATTTTTTTTTACATGAAATTATTATTTTATATCAAATATCATACCTTATTATCATAAATACGTATTCACGGTCATAGACTCATAGAATTGTTATAGAATATGATAATTTATTATTATTATATTATATTATACAATACTCATAGAATAAACAAGTTTTGAAGTTTATAATCATAATCGCGATTAGGACTTAGAACACATATATATACGAGAACCTATTTAAGATACTTGATATTTGCATAGTACAACTATGGAACATTTTTACTCTCTTATAAGTCTTATATCAAATTTATAATTTAAATATAATTTAATGTTTAAACACAGTATTTATAAAATTAATAAATATTATACTATAAGTCTATAACTGCACTTATTAATAACAAATGTAATAATAACATTTTACATTATTAAATAATATGCTTTTGATTTAATTTTAAAGTACGCTTCTTTTTTATTTTTATTGCTTTTTAGGTTGAAAATTTGCAGGATATGAAGTGAAATGGGCCAAAGTAGATTAACAGGTTTGGTGATTTTGCATATACACAGGCAACTTCCATTAAGCGTAGACAAAATAATAGACCGCTTTGCTAAAAATAAAAGAATTTTAGATTTTGTTTTATAAACAATTAAAATAAATTTGTGTACTATGACTATGATGAATTGTTTTTAATAATGTAATATTTAAGTTTCACAAATACTTTGTAGAGACTAGTTCAAAGTTCCAAAAGCTTAAAAAAAAAATGGTTTTGTGTGAATTTATGTATCTGAATCCCATGTAAATTAATATTAATTTTTATCATTTCATCTCCCCTCCTATACCTAAGATCTGAGGTCTGGGGACACCCTTGAGCAGTTAACCCCCCAAACCAAAACAAAAAATTCAATCTTAAATTTTGATAAATTTTAAAGGAAATTTGACAAACAAAAATATGTGGTTCGTTATGAACTATTTTWATATTATATAAAGTCCTAAACTAATTAGGAAAGAGAATAAATTTAGTTTTAAATAATTTACTTATTTTCCTATTATATTTTTAATTATTTATAAAACTGTTATTATTATAGCACCACCGCAGGTATCGAATGTAACAAACAAAATATATAGTAATAACTAATAATAATAAAATCATTGTGACCGATTATGATAACTATATATAGGTATACTAATATAGGTATATTAATATGTTTGAATAATATTATGTTATTATTATCCTATTACAGTATACATGCAATTTATATTTTTATCWATTGCGGCTTCGTGCCTTCATCATGTGTCTGTGTTACTTGTTTTTCCAGCGGGAATTTGTGTATTTTTAAATATATTAATACGTTGGCTCTTATAAACGTCCATGTACATTTATTTTAAAACTTATTATTATTTATCAATTGAATTTGAATCATTAGGGTTCCGTACCTCAAAAGAAAAAAACGGAACCCTTATAGGATCACTTTGTTGTCCGTCCGTCCGTCTGTCAAGACCGTTTTTCTCAGGAACGCGTGGAGGTATCAAACTTAAATTTCTATATGATACTCAGGTCTACTTTCCCTGGAAGCTGTAGAAAAATCAATCTTCTAAACCAATGCAATCAAAAGATACAGCCATTTGGGCCGCAAATTTCCGTAAATTTTCGAAACTCGCACGGGAATCAAAACCTACAGGGTACTTCCCATGAACTTAGAATCTTGAAATTTAGTACGAAGTCACGTCTTATAGTACAGATATATGAAAAATTACG